CACAGGCTGGAAAAACTGGAATAATCCCTTCAAAAAAAAACAAGTAATTTGGTCACTCAATCTGACTGTTTCTGTGACACTGCTGTGTGCAATTGGCTGCCATGTTTTGCCCACAAAATACAGTCACACTTTGTGTCGCCTTACAGTATCAGGATTTTCTATGCCACGTCAAGCACAAGAATTAGCATAAATAAGTTGATTCATGAATAGGAACTCCATGCACTTTAATGCTATACAATTCAAAAATCCAATTAAAACTTCAAACTTTATTGAAATATCAAAAAAAAATTGGACAACTCAAGATGTCAACAACAAAGTACATTTGTATATCACCTTTCACACCAGGATGTCCCAAGGTGATGGACAATCAGGGGTCCGCATTCGAGCTGGTGGATAGGATCAGCAGGAGTGGAAGGCGGGGAGGGTAGTGGTAGGGGGGTGACCAAAGGCAAGGTCAAAGAGGGACTTGAAGGATGCAAGGATGTCCTAAGGGATAATAATCCTTCCAAAAAAGCAAACCAATAATAAATTGGTCATTTTCAATCCACGACTGTTTGTGGGACATTGCTGTGCGCAATTGGCTGCCGCATTCGCCCACAAATATACAGTCAATTCACTTTACAGTATATTCTGTGACGCGCTTTGGGACGTCTAAAGACGTGAAAAGCGCTATATCAAATGCAAGGATTATTATTATTATTAAGGCGCTGGACAGTTGAGGATTCGCACGCAAGGTGAATTCAGGGATGGTGGAGCAGGAAGATGACCAAAGACTCTGTCAAAGAGATCGAGTCAGATCTTGAAGGAGGTAAAGGAAGGGGCGAGGCAAAGGGACTCCGGGAAGAAGTTCCAAATGTGGGGGCAGGAAGGCTGAAGGCTCAACTGCCGACAGTGGGGTGCAGGACGTGAGGCAGGCCAGTGCCTACCAAGCAGAGGGAGCGGGCGGGTTGGTAGGGTTTTAGAAGGACACTGAGGTCGGGTGGGACACCATTGAGGGATTAAAAGTCAAATTCCTATTCACAACTGAATGGACATTAGGTACAAGCCCAAACATGCCCCCACCCCCACCCCAGCCAAGGTGCCTATTGTTAAGTACTTGGGAGGCACTATATAAACGCAAATTGCATGGGCTTGTATCAAAGCAAATAAAATTGGCCTTCAATCTGAATAAGTGTGCCTAAACACCATATGCAAACTAATTTGTGTTTCGCTTTTTAGCTGTAGAATCCTGGAAGTTTCACAAATTTTTCATTTTAAAAGGTCTTTTTGAGCCAGAGGTGAGCACGACCGACTTGAGATACCTAAAATTGACATTGTAAAATGGGAGAAAATAAGACGCGCACACGCCGATATTTTAACAGGGACGAACGCTTCAAAACAAACGTTCAAGTTGGGTAAAAGTGTATATGCAGTGAATTCAGAAGCGCAAGTTTTAAACTGCATAAAATATTATAAATGGCATATATATATATATACATATATACGCAAAGGACAAGGGATTGGTCAGAACAATAAAAATCCAGAGACGCCTCAGGAAATTCATACATTTATTGAGGTGTAGCCCGGGGTGGGGGGTCAAACCAGGATCAGGAGAGGAGAGAATGAACTTTTTTCCCCCACAAAGTTGTTGCTGTTTAGTTCGAGTCACTCCTGGAGACCAGAAAAACCATCCTCTCCACACAAAATGGCCTCCCCACCACATTCCCCCTGTACCCCGGGGGGGGGGGGGGAAGGCTCACACTGCATCCCCCCCCCCCCCACACACACAGGCTCAATCAGTGAATCCCCCCCCCCACACACACACACAGGGCTCAATCAGTCCCCCACCCCACACACACAGGGCTCAATCAGTGTCCCCCCCACACACACACACACACGGGCTCAATCAGTCCCCCACCCCACACACACACACACAGGCTCAGTGTCTCCCCCGCCCACCGCGGGTGACTCACACCATTATCGGGTCCCCCCCTCCCCACCCCCAGCAGAGGGGGCTCACACATTCCCTCCCGAACAGATCGCCCACACCCAGACTCCCGGGGGGGGGGGGGAAGAGAGAGAGAGAGGCCCTCCCCGTTGTGAATGTGCGACCAGCGCCGTCCCGCAGGTCCCACTCCCTGGGAGATGCGGAGTACAAGGCAACCGGTCGCCGCTTTACTCTCCCTGCAGCACCCGTCCTGCCGGCGCCAGGCTCCGGGTACAGAGACCAGCTCTTAGCGGCAGCATCGGGCCTTCCCCACCACCACCACAAGGGGCGCCCCCGGGGGAGGCGGAGGGGGTGAAAGGCCAGGGCTGACCGCGGCCTGACGGCGCGGCTCCACCGCCGGCCTGTGCTCTCGCGGCCTGGGGGTGTGTGTCGGTGCCGCAGCAGCAGCCGCCGCCCGCGGGTCCGGGAACAGGCCTCGCTCGGCCCTAACTTTTTTCCTCTCCTCCTCTCCTCCCCCCGCCTTCGCCTCACCTGCGCTGAAAGTCAGGGCGGAAAAAACAGCGCAGTCTCCCCCGCCGCCGCCCCCCCTCCTCCCACATCGGCGGCAGCGGCGGCGGCGGCGGCGGCCGGAGCGTGAGGGAGGCCCCCGGTATGCACTTAGGGTTAGGATCCTGGCGGCCGCTCCGGGCCCGCGGGCGGCAGAGAGAGACCGGCGCCCGCGCGCGCTATATACACGCCCCGAACCCCGCCCCCCCGCCTCGAGACCCCGCCCCCCCGCCTCGAGTCCCCGCCCACCTCGAGTCCCCGCCCCCCCGCCTCGAGTCCCCGCCCACCTCGAGTCCCCGCCCACCTCGAGTCCCCGCCCACCCGCCCCGAGTCCCCGCCCACCCGCCCCGAGTCCCCGCCCACCCGCCCCGAGTCCCCGCCCACCCGCCCCGAGTCCCCGCCCCCCACCCACCAGGCTCAAGTCCCCCCCCACCCTCCAACGCCCACCAGGCTCAAGTCCACCCCCCCCCCGCCCACCTGGCTCACGTCCCCCCCCCCCGCCCAAAGTCCCCCCCCCCGCCCACCTGGCTCACGTCCCCCCCCCCCGCCCAAAGTCCCCCCCCCCGCCCACCTGGCTCACGTCCCCCCGCCCACAGTTGTGGTTTTTTTGAGGTGGGGGGTGTGGTCAGCTGACAAACTGTTTGTGGGACACTCACTGCTGTGCGCAATTGGCTGCCGGGTTTTGCCCACAAATATACGGTCAATTCTCTTCACAGTCTATTCTGTGAAGCTCTTTGAGACGTCGAGAAGACGTGAAAAGCGCTATATCAAATGCAAGGATTATTATCATTATTATTTATTATTAAGAGAATCCAAACCAGACTCAGCATCTGACCTACACGAGGACATTCCAGAGATAGATTGTTGGATTGGATGGAATGTGCACCCTCTCCCCCCCCGTGGAGGGAATGCAACTTGCTCACCTAATTCCAGAAAGCACGAGGCGCGGGTTGGCCGGAGCCAAGGCTTCGGGACCCCAGAGTGTGCGCGTTGGGGGTAACTGCTGGGGTCTAACCAGCTAACACCGCAGCTTGCCGTTGTGCCATTGATATCGCTGCTTGTTCAGCTTGGACCACCCGACCCGTTAGGGCATGGGCTTGCAGGATTAACAGGAGCTGAAGGGGAGGATTCCATGCCTCCTGTGACTGCCTCGAGTCGATAGCCTGGCCCACAGTCTGCACCAGTCCTGCCCCTGGCTCTGTGTGCATGTGTGTGGGGCTCACACTGTGTCCCCTTACCGCCGTGCTGTCCAACCCAAATTGATAAGTGGTCACAGGTTTGGCCATTGAAAAACAGAAATGGCCACTCTATAATAAAAAAAACACCAGCCCTCTGTGGCGATCTCGGTGGTCTGGTTTCTGAGCCAAGTGGGTATGCAGTACTCCAGGGCACTGCTGATCTTAAGCACGACATATGCTCTTTTAGCATTGCTTTCACCAATGAACTGAAATGGTAATACTGTACTGTATCTATGTACATAAAGGCACACAGTATAAACTGAAACACAAATCACACCACAGCAAAGGTCATAGGATATTACTACACACAACACAACTGATTCAGATAAGAGAACAGCGTCTGCATGACAGTACTACGATACCAGCGACTTGACTGCCAACACACGAGGGAAAGAAACCGTTATGTCTCACAGGTGCATCCAGCCAATCTGAAACAATCCGAGACCAAGCAAAGAAGATGCTGCTGAAATGACGTATGATAATACATGATAATAAAGCTCCACTATAACAAGCACAGAAAACATGCGCATCGGATCACATAAAGTGAGTGATTTTGGCCTCTGTATTTTTTTTGTGTTAAACACAAGTTGATTCATCAATGTGACAAAGCAAAATGGTCACTTGGGGGGAGGGGTGCACCACATCCCCTTGCAGCCCTCGGGGAAGTGGGGTGAGGAAGTGTCATACCATGTCCTCCTACAGTACCTGGGACTATCAATATTTGATGCACCGGTGTATGAACTGAAAACATGCAAAATCAGCCAAGTCCAGGCAGTTTGAGAATCAACATGTGTGAGCCAGAGGTAGCTTTTAACAACAATAACCTGCATTTAAATAGTCCCCTTCATGCAGAGTAGCGTCCCAGAGTGGAGCAAAAGCTTAGTTAAGTTTTCTTACTCCACGTGTCGTTGTTTACCGAGCAGTAAGGAGGAACCCGATTGATTGTCTAGAAATGTTTTTGGTTACTCAATCCACGACTGTTTGTTGGACAATGCTGTGCGCAATTGGCAGCTGCATTTCGCCCACAAAATACAGTCAAACCACTTTACAATATATTCTGTAAAGCGCTTTGAAACGTCTCAACGACTCGATATGGCGCTATATCAAATGCAAGGATTATTATTATTAACCAGTGTCAAGGATCTGCGTACTCTTTTGTATGACAGAAACCCATCCGCTATATACAATATACAAAACAAGTAACATTTAAAATTGCAAGGACAGCCAACACATTAACCAGGCAAGTCTCTTTTTTTTTTCCACAATCATGTCGCACTTTTATTTTGTCAGTACTTTGCTTTTCTCTTTGTTAAATACAGTAGGATTTTAAAACATTTTAGAAACACTTTCTGTGCACGATGTTGGCGCCCACTTCCTTGTACTCGCAAGCCAAGATCCACATTTGCTGGAAAGCGGAAAGAGAAGACAGGATGGAGCCTCCCATCCACACGGAGTATTTTCTCTCAGAAGGAGCGCAGACCTTGATGGGAGTGCCGGTGGGTACCATCTTGGTCATCTCCTTCAACATGCGCTCATCCAAACATGGGAACATGCTGGAGCCCCCCGCCAGGATAATGTTGGCGTACAGCTCCCGCCTCAGGTCAATGTCACATTTCATGATGGTGTTAAAGCACAGCTTGTCGATGCCCGGCGCTTCGATGCCGATGTTGGCCGGGATGAAGAGAGTCTCTGGGCAACGGAAGCGTTGGTTTTGGATCTTGATGACCTGCCCGTCTGGGAGCTTGTAGTCCTTCTCCACGTCGCAGGGCTTCTTGCACATCTCGGCTTGGAGGTCCACGGCCACGTAGCACAGCTTCTCCTTGATGTCCCTCACGATCTCCTTCTCCGCCGTGCTGACGAAGGAGACCCCGCTCTCCGTCAGGATCCTCACCAGGTACTCGGTGAGGTCTCGGCCTCCCAGCTCCAGCCTCAGCACGGCGTGGGGCAGGCAGTAACCCTCGTAGATGGGCACGGTGTGTGTCACTCCATCTCCGCTGTCCATCACGCATCCCGACGTTCTCCCGGAGGCGTAGAGAGCCAGGACCGCCTGAATGGCCACGTACATGGCTGGCAACTCAAACCCCTCGAAGAGGATCTGACACATCTTCTCTCTGTTGGTCAGAGGGTTCAAAGGGGCCTCGGTCATCAGAGCAGGTCTCTCGTTGGACTTGATCTTCAAATCGTTGTCGTAGACGTACCTCCAGATCTTCTCCATGTCGTCCCACGACGTGACGATGCCATGTTCCACTGGGTACTTGATGGAGAGGACCCCTCTCTTGGCTTGAGCTTCCTCGCCGATGTAGAAGTCTTTCTGTCCGGCCCCGATGATGAGGGCTTTCTGCCGGGGTTTGCCGATCACGTTGGTGAAGATGGATCGAGGCTCCTTGTCTCCCGAGATACCCGACTTGATCAGACCGGAGCCGTTGTCGATCACCACAGCGGTCTGGAGCTCCATTTGTCACGAGGTGTTGAGGTCCGGGAAGGAGCGAAAGAAAAGAAAAAACCTCCGCCTGAGATGTCGTTCTTAACGCTGCTCAAACGGCAGTGAGCGGGTAACACGTCCTGTCCGCGTTTATAATGTTTTCTGGGAGTTGTACGTGGTTCAATTGTGACCATTTTGCTCAGAATTATGAGGGCACAATAATATCGCGTCATGTAGCAACGTCCAAGTAACCATCACACCTCTCCCTCACCACGTCCTGGAGGGGGTTTTTTTTTTTTTTTTTAGCCATTATTATACATCGGGAATAATGCAACGCCTTCCGAAACGTACAGTCAGGACCTCATATCATCATCATAATAATAATAATCCTGGCATTTGATATAGCGCTTTTCACGTCGTGGAGGACGTCCCAAAGCGCTTCGCAGAACACACTGTGAAGTGAATTGACTGTGTGTTTGTTATTATTATTATTATTATTATTATTATGTGTGTTTGTGGGCGAACGCGGCAGCCGATGGCGCACAGCAATGTCCCGCAAACAGTCGTGGATTGAAAATGACCAATTTGTTATTGTTTTTGGTTTTGGAGGGATTATTATTAGGGCTCTGTGTGGAGTAAGGAAACTTGCCCGAGGTTTGGCCCTCTGCCTGGAATTGAACTCAGGTCTCTCGCTTGCAAAGCGAGTGCTCTAACCACTGAGCTGCAGGACTCCTTTCTCCATATAAGAAAGGAACAGCTTTAGTAAAACCCGATATGTGAAGTAGTGAAAGGCCAATTATTAAATTCACTACCAGGCGACCACTTTCCTGTGTGGTGGGGTTTTTTTTTTTATTGTTGTATTTTCTTTTCTATCCAGGACGCCTGCAGTTCTCTTTTGCATTTATCGCTAGAAATTAGTGTATTTCCCCCCCCCCAAAAAAAAATTGTTTAATGCGCGGAGTGACTTCCGGTTCAGACTCGATGGGCCGAATGGCCTCCTTCTGTGTCGTAACATTCTATGATTCTATGAAAACGATATTTCACGCGATGTGCACCTCAGATAGTCTTCATTTCTGTCCAACGCCGTCAAAGTACAGCCAATGTGTTTGTTGGTTGTATTAGCAGCGAGGTGCTCAAAGGGCAACTCAGTTTCAACTGGCAAAGGTGAACTATCGCATCACGGCATAGCACTGTATCAGCCCAAACTATCTTTCCACGCAACTAACACCATAGATGGTTCCATTAATAAACTCTAGTCTTGCATCTTACTGCAAAGAGGAAACGTTCTGTATCAGACACATCTAAAATAGACCATCGCCACTGCTAAGCAAACCACATGGGATCAACACATATAATAAATGCATTCAAACATCTGTATCAGCCCATCAATACATTCGAATCACTCGTAATCCTTGTTCACTGATTCATAAAAACTTTTTTCATCATCGCCTGCTGCAGTTTCCTTGGAGCTCAGTTAGTTAGTTAGTTCCAGGCCCTAAGACACTTTCTGGATTCATTTACTTGTTTTGTGCCAATGCCAACTTCCATGATTACCCCACGTTTCTGTCAACTCACGTGCATTAGACTCCAGTTAAATGAATGTTATAATATAAACAACAAAGATGAACATCTGGGGTTCAAATGATAATGCCTTCTGTCAGAGGCTGAGAATGGGAAGCCATACACTTTTGAGCACTGATACTTTTAAACCTACCTTGGGGTCCAATATACGCCGATCGTTTACAACAGGGAAACTTCATTACATATTTATAAAGGGAAACAATGGCTTTGAGTACAACATTATTTCCCAGAGAGGTAGGCAATGCTGAATACTTATGCTTGAAGGAGACTAGGGGAGAGAGAAATGGTAATATCAAAATGCCTTAAACATTGGCCAAATAATTTAATGAGTTTCAGCAATCCCAGTCTAATATTAAAGAAAAGATAGCAGTCTTACCTCAACTGTTGTCCTCGTGCATTAACAGATTGTGTGTCCCAGAGGATTTATATTTGGGATTGGATAATGAACTCTTCAGCTTTCTCAGTTCCTGTATAAAATTGTTCAGAAGGAAATCCATTTAAGGCGTATGCACTTTTTGCTTGCCATGTTATCAAAACTATATCTTCTGTTGCTTTCAATCATAAAACAAACTGTCCACCATCAGAAGGTTAGGACAACCTTCAGGAAGACTAGAGATCCAGTGAGTGTTATTCCATTGTTATCCTGGCATTTGCTTTACATTCTTAAACTAATTTTTTGGTCTCAGCTTCAACCTCTCTCTCCAATGCAACCATCCTTGTCTGTTTATATGAATGTTAACCCAGTTCTGTTGGTAGCATTCTCGCTTCTGAGTCGGAAGGTTTTTTAACCTATTAATCTTTAGTCTTTTACAGGGCACTGTTCTCTTGCTCAGCACAGAACATCATTGCTGTCCAAAGATTTCCCTTCAGACAGTTGGCCTAGCATCATAATGCTGCAATTTCTGCTTCTTGTCAAGGAGCAGTGAAACCACATGGAGAAATCAACCACGAGTGTTGTGGGTGAAGAAAACTCAATTGGGTGGGGTCAGTGAATATTGGTAAACTTTTGGGAAACTGAGTCCAAATGTTGGCAGAAAAAACATACCAGAGAATCTTGCTGTAACTGTGCTTCTCCTTTCCACTTGGACAAAAGTAGAGCCTGACTAGATCTTCAACAGCTCGATGCAGCCCAGCTCCAACCAATCAACTAGCATGCTCCAGCTGGTAAAGAGGTTGGAACCGCTTTCCCTGATGAGCCAGGTGGCTGGGGTTAGTAGGTAATTTTTCCTGAGGAAGAGCCAGGGACAAGTGTTCCTGCTCTGGATAGTACAGGATCTCCACAAAGTCCTATTGTTTTTATCTGCAGCGCACTGACCAAGAACTGGAACGTGTGGAAGAATGATGACAATTGTATTTAGAAGTACTTAATAGTATTCAGTACAAGTGTTTAATTGTATTTAGGTGACCAGATGGCCAGAGGTTTGCTGTGAGCACTATCATTTTCGCAGCAGATAATGATCTGCCACCATGTTTGGTGCAATATCTTCTATAACGTGATGGAGTGACAAGGTGAAACACATCGCTGATCGCTTGTTTCAGCTCCTCCGTAGCCTCATATTGATGTTTTGTAATAAGGGGTAAGAGGATTTGTGGACACACTGTACAACAAATGCTGGTGCAATATAGTACTGGGCTTGATTCTTATGCACATCAACACTCACTGACTACAACAAAAACAATATATATTTGTAATACATCAGGAGGATGTCTCAAAGAGCTTCACATGGATGAATGGGAGACAGAGCAAGGGTGGGGGAAACTGGAATGTGGAGGGAGGGAAGGAAGGTGACCAAAAGTGTGGATAAAAAGAAACGTCTTAAGGTGGACTAGACTGAGACTTGAATAAAGGCCACTTGGAGACCGGCTGATGTTTGTATAGCTGTCATTCAGCAATAATCGCTGCCTTTAGGAGAGGAAGGGACAAAATTGGAGGGAAAGTTGCAGCACCACAATTACCAATTCAGGAGGCAAAATATCAGCCAGTACTGCTTGGCATTCAGTGAGCCAACAGATGGCACTGTTTGCCTTTCTGGCATATATATATCTACAGACACTTGGATATAGACACAGTGATATAGATATAGACACACGTGGATATAGACAATGTGATACTAATAATAATCCTTGGATTTGGTATAGCGCCTTAGCACGTCTTCGAGAGGTATCAAGGTGCTTCACAGAATATGCTGTAAAGTGAATTGACTATATTTTCTGTGGGAGAAACACAGCAGCCAATTGTGCACAGAAGGTTCCACAAACAATCATGGATTGAGTGACCAATTTATTATTTTTTTTTTAAGAAATTATTACCGCCAGAGAAGAGATCCGCCAATCGACTAACAACCGGGTTCCTACTTACTGCTAGGTAAAGAGAGGCATGTGGAGTAATGAAACTTGCCCAATGTTTTGCTCTGCCGGAAATCAAACCAAGGTCTCTCGCTTGCGAGGCGAGTACTCTACACCACTGAGCTACAAGACTTCATGATAGTTACACTGGGTTGGTTCACCTCTGGGGCCATGTTGATTCTTTACATATGAGCTGATGAATCATAAGAAATCTAAACACAAATTAATGAAGTGGAATAGTACTTCAATATTCACACGTACACTTCAGAACACTTAGCTTTGAACATACGACCAGCGATAAATAATATCGCTGGTCGCACATCCAGTTAAATAATAACTGGAAAATGAATTGCTCAGACTCCAGAGAAGATGCATTGTGTAGGATTCTAAAGCCACAGCAAAGGATGAAGGTTTATGATTCTAGGTATTGTTTAGATGACCATGAGTTGATAATCTAGATTGACACTAGTGAGGTACTGAGAGAATGCTATATTGTTGGAGGTTCTGTGCTTTGGATGAGATTTACTATTGTTTCTTCTGGTAGCTCAGGTTGGCTTAATCAGTCTGAAAAAGCGCAGAGAGTTCTCTAGGTTCCATATTTATGTCCAATCCGAATTCACTAAAACACAGATTCATCTCACTTTTGCTTTTAGGACATTATTTCAATTGGCTTCTGTGATTCCTTCAATCCTTTCTCTCCAGGAACACAAATCTGATTACCTCTTGAATCAACTTATATTGTGCATTCCAATATTTTTTGCCTGGGATCTACAAGGCTCCACTAAAGTTAAAAATAGTAGGAGAAAAGAAGTGAAAAATATATGTCAGCCTGGTTTAGTTGGTAATACTCTCACCTTTGAATAAGAAGGTTGTGTGTTCAACAACAACAACAACAACAAGATTCCATTTATAAAGCGCCTTTCACGTCAGGAGGACGTCCCAAGGCGCTGCACAGTTGGGTCAGGACCCGAGCAGGGGGGAAATGGTCAGGGTGAGGGGAGGGAGCGAGGAGGGGGAAATGGTCAGGGTGAGGGGAGGGAAGGGAGGGAGCGAGGAGGGGGAAGAGAGTCGAGAGGGGAGCTGAAGGCTCGGTCAAAGAGAAAGGT